AGTCTCACAGTCTCTCCTGCCTGGGCTGGCTTTGAACCGAGATCCTCAGATCTCAGCCTCCTGAGTAGCTAGGATTACAGGCGTGAGCCACCAGCGCCTGGCTTGGTAATTTTCTTATCATAGTAGGGTAATCTAAATCTATTCTATGAAGGTTTAAAAGAAGGGTTGTCCTGGTCCCTGAGTGGATGCGCCTAGAGGAGCCTCCCTAGATATAGAGATCTCCAACTACAGTTGTTATTCTTCAGCTAATTGCCCAGCTCCCAAGAAGAAGCAGTACTTTGAGCCTGCTCTGTGTTCTGTGGCTTGTTGAGATGTAGGCTGGCCTGCTTTCTGACCTCAGAGGTTGCAGGAGGAATGAGTCTGTGTGGACCAACCGTCTCTCACCTCAGCTCTGTCTGTCTGCATCCCACCGGTCCTTAGAAAAAGCACCGTTCAGTAAAGCCACATCCATGGACTTTACACAGCCACCTTCTCAATTAATTTCCCGCAAGTCAGCACCATTTTCTCACCACTGAAGTAGGCCTGTCTCTGAAGAGTAAAGCAATCATTTTCCCTACTGATATTTCCTATATTGTGAAGGATATGACCTGTTTGTATATATCCTAATAAGTTAAATGTCTTGGATACTAAATCTTGATATGCAGTACTCAGTGCTTAAACACTTCATTGGGAATTGTTTAAAGACCGTAGCTTCCATGTATTCTTTACGATGGGGAATGTTTGACTTCGGAATTGTTGTCATAGACATTGTAAAGCCAAAGATGGGCTTTTTGACTGAACATCAAAGGCCCCCTCCCCAAACCACCTGAACCCAGACAGTTTGCAGCGTTTTAAACTGGTGCTTCATCCCTCTTTCAGCAAGCATCCTCTGCAGATTTAATGATCAGAAACATCCTGCTGGTGCATGCTGGGAGATATGGCTGCAGAGTGCAGACCACAGCAGACAGTGTGTCAGATGAGGCAGAGCTCCTTGTTAGGGGTGAGTATGCTCCGAGTGCAGTAGGGGACGCGGCCGCGCGAGTGGCCCGCGAGGGGCTGCGCTGCATGGCCTGAGGCGCTGTGATGATGTGTGTCATGTGTGCTCAACCTTTTGCCTTTGAAAGCTTACACGGGAAACTCTTCCCCAGTCACCAGCAAGGCCTGCAGATACAACGTCCGTGTCTAAGGCACTTTTCTGTAACGGTGGTGGCCACGTGTCATGCCAACATAATGGCAAACAAATTCTGGACAGCAAGACAGAGACACTTGGCATACAGACAGAAAATTTGCTGGTGTGTATGTGGATTTCAAATGCAAAACTGGTAGAGTCTAGCTTCCCAAACCAGGAAAACTGCATGTGTGAGAGAATGACACTTGCGATGGTTAAGTGACAAGTCTGAAAATGCCAGCACACAGCCTCTCCACAGCAGCAATAGTTAAATGTTTCCTCATTATGAGCTGGACCGCCAGATTCTGCGCCCTGGGACGCTGCGTCTATTTCAGTTAAGCAAATGGATACAGTAAGAAATGCAGCCCTCGCATGCACTTTCCCGCCCCTTTCCCTTATCTTTCCTCCACTTCTTTACTTCCTTGTCTTTCCCTCCCCTTTCCCTTTTAGATTTTCATTACAGTATAATATAATATACCTGCAGTCATTTTCTAAAATCATAAACGTGTACGTGCACAACTCCACATAAGTGACAGGACCCCTCTGCATTCCAGAAGACAAGAATACACCAGACGCGCCCAGCCCGCGTCTCCTCCCCGATCTGACTGGAATGACACAGATGCATGCGAACACCCCTGCACGGTGTCTACAAGTTAAAATGTTTTATCTACAATAAGAGATCACATTTTAGATTAATGCTTCTCTCAACCACCTGATGAATTCTAGTTTTATTTTTTAACAATTCGTTGTTGTAAAGATCATACAAGTGAACATGGAGTAAGCATCGCCAACTCTTTAGCTCCTACGCCACCAAATGCGTGTTCATCTTTGTGCATCCGTCATGGGCTCATCTAAAATGAGGGTCTGAGTGAGGGGCGGCTTCCTCAGTTGTTTTGGGTTTTTAGGTTTTTGTCTCCCTTCCAAGGTTATTTGCTCTTTTCTTTGGTTTTACATCAAGGCTGTAAAGCTCCAGCTTCTTAGGGGTGAGTCTTCCACCCCACCAGGGCAGTTCACACGCTAGCCACACCCCTGGCCACGCCCCTTAGTGCCTTCCCAGCAGGTGTGGGCCTTGTGCCCCTGCACACCCTCCCTCTCCCCCACGAGGTCCCACTTACACTGTTCTCTTGCTGTAGCCTGCCTTTGCTTATGCATGTGTGTTGTGTGCGCTTGCCTGGTAATTTAGAATGATGTTCCCAAAATTGGAGCCTTCCAAATGAATACAATTCAGACACTGATAACAAGAAGCCAGGTATTTCCACAGGCCTGCAAGGGGCAAATGTAAGTGGCAAACTAACACCCTGCTTTGTAAGGAAAATTAAACCCGGCAGGATTTAGGACATAATTCATGTTCCGCTTTTTCATGTTCTGCTCTTTTAGCCTTTGGCTTTATGCCTAGGAGATGATAAAATGCATAAATCTTGGAATTACACCCAAAAGCAATTTCAAACAGGTTGCTGTGGTCTGAATATTCATGGAGGATTCAGCTCAAGCTTTCCTGTGAAGTGAGCTTGATCCAGTCCAATTTTTGATTATGTACTTGCATTGCATTTCTAAAATTAGGAAAAAGAGCTTTGCTTTGCCTGCCTGGCGAAGGCTTAGTCAGACTTTAAAACTAAACTAAGTTTTAGCTGCGGTTCTTCTTATTGTTATTATTAAAGTTGGCAGCTCCTGGTAATTGAAGGAACTTGCAAATTGCTCTTTTGAATGTTGAATTATAAAATAAAACCCCAAATAGTTCCACTCCAGCATGCTCTTCTCCCTCCTCTCTGTTCATTGGTTTATGAACTCAGGACATTGTTCTAGCATAGGCCATAAAACCAACACTGAACAAACTAAATTGAGTTTTTTCTGTGTCTGCTACCACAATTGCAGCAGGATTCTGGGATGCGTTACTCAGTGTATGCCACAGACCCGGGGGACTGCAGGAAGGCCCTCCATTATGTGCAGAAGACCACTGCCGGCCGGCCCGAGCCGTGCGCATGGCTCACCGATCGTACCCGGCACGCACTTGGGCGTGAGGAGTGTGTCCCTGCGGTTCTAGTTCCGTGTCCGTCCATTCCAGACAGGGGCTCTTGTCTTCACTGACTGAGCCCCAGCAGTGGCAGGCTGTGAGGCTCCTCCCTGCAGCTTCATCTGTGACGCCTGGAGGCAGCACACTGACCCCGAGGTCAAGTGTGTGACCATGGCCCCAGCATGGCCAGAGGAGAATTCGCACTCGGACCTGGTGCTCGGGCGTTCCAGGCTAGTCCGCACTGCTGGGCATCCATGTTCCTGTGTCCTCTTACTCTTCCACTGTCAGCATGACCCAAAAATGGAACGTTCCAGAAATAATGCAAGCACAAAATCACTCTTGCAAATTGAATACTCAATGAGCCAGTGCATCCTATCATCCAGAATCTAGAGAACCTTGGTGGGGTAAGGAATGTCCCCAAAAAACTCGTGTTGCTGCAACACAAAAGGAAATCAAAGCTAGACGGTGCACGCGCACTCTTGCGGCAGCAGGCAGTGTCAGCCAGCCTGGGCATGGGCTGCGTTTAAAGATGCCCAGAGCGGACCCTGTTCTCCGAAGAGGGAAACCGTTGCCTCAGACTGCTGAGATGATCTCGCCGGAACCCAGCCACATGGTCAGCCGGCCACGCGTAAGTGGCGCCAGGAAAAGGAGTATTTGCTTTTGTCCTTCTACTTTATCTTAGAGAAATCAAGGTGAGAAGTGTGCTTCCCAGAGCAAACACAGGTGGAAAACTCCAGTTTAAAGAATAAAATGTACTTGGTCACCGATGACGGCAGGGCTGGGGTTTGCGCTCCCACCGCCTCTGGCTGGAGACAGAGTGCATTCCTGGCGTTTGCTCCATCCCTCGGGTTCACACTGCGGTCCGTAGTCAAAATCCCCCGCCCCCGGCTTCCGTGGTGGCTTCTCGCTGATATGAATCACATTAAGTATGAAATACCTTTCTTACGCAGTCACTGGAGGACAGAACTCGACCCATTTAAAGTGTGTTCCTCCTTTGCTGCTCCTCCGTCCGGTCACAGGCCCGTGCAGCACCTGCTCTCAGAAGGAAGGGCGGGCTGCTGCCTCTGGGCCCGAGGGGCGCGCCACCCCCAGTTCACAGGTGCCTGTGCGGCGAGAAATGCAGAGATGCCTTGGCATCTTTGGTCTTGTGGGGAAATAATAGGAGCAGAGCGACGGGTTCGGGTCCACAGCCTGAAGGTCCAGTGTCCAGTACAAGAGAAGTTCAGGAGAGGCCCGCAGAGCCTTCTCCCGAGCACACGTCCTGGGGCGCCAAGCCTGCACGGCGGGTCAGGCCGCACAGGTGCAGAGCCGGTCTCCACCATGACTAACTCCTACATTCGATTAGAGAAGCAGAAGCACTCTGCCGAGGGAGGAGATGGTTACGCGAAGCAGCTACTGCTTTCCATCACAGGGTTCACCAGCTTTCTCTCCCCAAGAAAATCTACTGTAGCCACGAGTCATGCTTCCAAATGCTTTGCTTATTGTGTTAGATCAATCATTGTTTATACTACTATTTCAACCCCAAACTTCACATCGTCATCAGGTAGATGAGCTGGAAGGGGTTCACACAACAGAGTGCCGGCCTGGTGATCACGAACACAAGACTGAGAAACAGAATGGCAGACAGTAGATGGTACCATCGAACGAGGCAACGCAATTCCAAGAACCATCAAAGAGACTACCTTTTGGCTTGTTGTGAAATACATTTGTGTTTCTCAGATAATTGAATATGATCTAAAGACACCAATGGCTACTGGAATAGAAACCAATTTGGTTAACTCCCAGCCCTCCCCAAAGACGTGTGTCCGGCGAGTCTAACACGCAAGAGGAAACGATTGAGAATGTGCCGCTTTTCCCTCCTGGAAAGATGCAGGTGCCATCCTGGTCCCAGCTCGGTGAGAGCAGCCTATTTTCAATACGCTATTGATTAATGGAGAACAGAGCAGCGTTCCTGGGCGTGTCCTGTCTCTGTGCTTTCCTCGTTCCCGCCAGCTGCTGCAGTCGGGATAGGTTTTAAATTCATGGGAGGGTCCATCTTTAGCACCTGGCTGCTGGTGAGGGCCTTCTCGCTTTAAAAATGCACAAGTATTTACCCAAGTATGCTCGGAAGACAGAATTTGCATAAATTTTCTTTCCCGGCATTGATCTAATATTCGGAGAGTCCTTGTCCTTGGAGAAGACGCAGACCTTCAGAGTTTAGAATAATGGCCGGGGGCCACGAGAGCCTTTAGGACTGGATGAAAAGCTAGTAATCATGAAAAGCAGAGCCGGTCTGCCACTAGATTGGCGTTCAGAGACCATAGGACAATGACGAGTATTTTCAATGTCATTTATAATCTCAGTTATTGTCAGTAGAAAATAGATTTGAAAATAAATCATGTTTTAGAGAAAAATATGAATTATTCAATTGTGATTGCTCTTCATATTTAAAAAAACTGCAAAAGAGATGTCTCTTCAAAGCAATCAGAAGTCAGGGACGTAACATTGTGCCGGAATGTCCTACCCCGGGGTGACCTCTGGCCTCCGGAGGTTCGGGCGGCCTCCGCCATCCCTGACCTCTGGCCTCCGGAGGTTCGGGCGGCCTCCGCCATCCCTGACCTCTGGCCTCCAGTGGTTCGGGCGGCCTCCGCCATCCCTGAGCTTCCCGTCCTACCTCCGCCAACCACTCCCACATTCGTAAAATTTCCTGTCCACATCAGACAACCGTCTAGGGTTTTTTAGTCTTACACTCTGCTTACTAATGGACAGGTAACTTTCTTGTCAATCACCTGTTTGGCTTTTCTGCCATTCCACAGAAGTGGCCTGAATGTCTGGATGATTT